ATTAAAATATGAAGTTAACAAGTTGACGCACAAAATATGCAAATATATTTTAATGTTGTTTAATAAAACAATTTTTTGAAAACAAACTAGCCTTTTTTTAAATTGACAATTTCTGTTCTTTCAACTAGGTACTGAACAAACAAAAATGGTTAAATGGTAAAGGAAGGTTGTCGATTAATCTGCTCTATTTACGTTCGATACCAATTTGTACCAACCGTTAATTGTCACTTTACAATGGCACCTAATTTAAATAATGGTACATTACATAATAATGATAATTAAAATTTCATTACAAATTAAGGATTGAAAGTATGAAAAAAAACCTAAAGCGTTGTTTAAATACTTGTTTAAACGATGCCTTTTATCTGATAAAAGGTAGGCGCTTTATTTAATAATGAATGAAGCATTGTCGGTCGTAAATTTGATATACTTACCGTGCTCCACTACTCAAATAACATTTCTGTACTCTCTGTCTCTGTTTATTTAAAATACTTAGTCTAGTTGTGATCCTCAAAATGAATATGATACTTTTGTTTTTTAGTAATAGAGTACAGCACATGCAAGACGTATAAATGCGGAAAGTACAGTACTCGCCAAAAGAAAAGTGACGGTAAGTTTTTTAACATTGGATCTGTTCAACTATAAAGTATTTAAACAATGGTACTGGCATGTATACTTTCTTCGAATGATAAATGTATCGAGGAATGACAAAGATTCAAATAAACTCCATTTCTTTTCCCCCCCACCTGCGTCTCCCGATCTTTGGCTTTGCATCTTTTTCTCCCTACGTAGCTACGTTATACCTATTACGAAGAGTAGTAAAACGTTGTTCTGCATCGCCAGCTGTGTATTAAAAAGAGAACATGTTTCAAAACACTAAAATAGACCTATTTACCTACCTGTTGTGTTTAAAATACTACCAATAGTGGCCCACGCATTTGCCCTGACGGTTCAGCGTGATTTCTGTTATATAGAGAAGTATATTTTTCCACTAGACTAATCAAATGCGGGCGTCGTCCATATTTTAATTTGGAAAATGGCAAAATGCATTTGATCACAATAAATAGACCACTTACAAATAGAGGTCGCTGAAGGCGAGTTTTGGTATTAAACATAACCTCACTTTATTCTTATGTATTTCTCCATAAGAATACTAAAAAATGCCTTACAATTGTTCAGTGTACAACTGTAATTCCACCACCAAGACGACACAATATAAATTTCATTCGTTTCCGAGAGAGGCAAAAGAAAAACGATCTTGGTTAAATGCGATCAAATCAGGAAAACAGCCCTCAAAGCATGCAAAGGTGTGTGAGAAACATTTTCGAAATGATGACTACGTTGTGACTAGTTTAGGTGGTATTTGTATTCCTTATCACAATTTATTTAAACTTTGAACACAGGTCAATGGAAAATACTTAAGAAAAGTGCAATTCCATCACAAAATTTGCCAAGGAGCTCTCATCATCTAGAGAAACGTGATTCTACTGCAAGAAGTGAAAGATATTTGTCAAGGCATACTCAAAAGATTGTAACCGACAATGACAAACATAATGTCAATCGTGACAATGAAATAGTTGACATTATCGCAGAAGATGTAGAAGAACAAGTTGAAGTGGAAAGAAGTGGCACACATCATGCGCAAATTCAAACGATCATTAGTCTTAAGCGATCCCAATTAATATCCGCAAGTTTCATAGATGAGGCTCAAATGAAACACATGACGGGATTTTCCAGAAAATTGTTTATTTTTTTTGTCAATATTTTGGCAATTCATACACAAAAACACATTCGTTATTTACCAATGAAGACGAGCTCTTAATCACGCTAATGAAATACAGACTGAACTTACATTATACGACGTTAGCTGCCCTTTTTGACACAGATATTCGAATAATAAAATCCATAGTAGAAAAGTGGACAAAACACCTATACACAAACTTTAGACAAATCAACTTCTGGGATTTAAAAACGTGTAAGCACGGCCAGTACACGATAGTCTTGGATTGTACGGAATTTAGAATCGAACGCAGTGGTGATCCTCTAATACAACAAGCTACATACTCTAGTTACTATGGAACAAATACTTTCAAGGTACTGATTGGTGGAACGGAAAATGGAGAAATTGCCTTTGTGTCAGATGTGTATGGGGGTTCTATTACTGATCGCAAAATATCACATATATCGGGCATACTTGATCTTTTGAAGGAAGCAGATTACGTTTTGGCTAACCGAGGATTTGACATATCAGATCTTTTGGAAGAAAAGCATGTCCATTTAAATATCCCCCCATTCAAGAAAGGAGCGCAGTTAACGGAAGAAGAAATCTTTAAAACCAGGGCCATTGCTAATCGTCGAATAATTATTGAAAATTTAATAGGAGCGGGGAAAAAAAATAAAATCCTAAGTGATCGTATACCAAGACATTTATGGCATATAACAAATGAAATTGTATATAACTGCATGATGTTTATTAACTTCAAACCATCTATCGTTCATGATACTTTAATTACAGGAAGTAAGCAATAGTTTGCATCATAATGTAACTCATTTCACATCTTAAACTATATTGTAATATTCAAAGTAACACCACTAACATTAAGTAATATAAAATATATAA